GCTTTAGTCACGGTGGTCAGGGACAACCCCCTGACCTAAAGTGCCCTTTGACTAAAACCTAAATGCCAATGATGTAGCCATTGGACAACCTGAAAGGAAGATCCATTAAAATAACTAAGAACATAAGAGGCTCAAAACTTGCAGTAATACTTCTAGAAATTTCTTCTATACAAAGGGAAAACAGGCAAAGGAGTTTTAAGACAAAGGGCAAACTCAGTGAATGACTGAATTACTAGAGTCTAGAGTATTTGTCCTGCCGCTTCTCGTGGACAGTCTGGCCCTTTCAGGCCAAAGAGCAAACTCTTTAGAGAAGCATTCATTATTCATTGCACCATCTGCTTTATTTTTCTATTTCTTTTATTTTTAATTTTTGTGGGTACATAGTAGGTGTATATACTTATCGGATATATGAGATGTTTTGGTACAGATATGCAATGTGAAACAGTCACATCATGGAGAATGGAGTATCCATCCCCAGCCCACCTGCTTTAAAGGCCCATCTGCCATTCTGCCCAATGCTCTAGCCATTTCATTGCCTTGGACCAATATACACATACCTCTGCCTTTATCCACGCTGCTTCCTTTACTTGCAATGACTTCCCCCCAATATTTATTGCTGGTTAAATTCCTAGTTTCAGGACTCAGCTGAAATGCCCCCTCTTGAGCACCTTCCCAGTCACCAACCCACCTTCCCTATCATCCCCTCAGCCTTAGCTAATCATTCTCTCTCATGAGATCCCATAGTACCTTGTGTTCATCCCTGTTATAGTTCTTGACCCCTTGTGTCATCATCATCCAAATGTTTGTCTTCCCCTGTAGACCATGAACTAGGTAGATCAAGCCATGGATCTTAAGCACCAATGTGTCCCCAGTCCTTGACATAACTCCAGGCATATAGTAGGTGATAGATATCTACTCAATGAATGATTGAATGACTAGGGTCTGGTGTATTTATCCTGTACCTTCAAGTGGACAGTCCAGCTCTTCATAACGTAGGGACACTTCTGTGGTTTTTGGTTTGGGTTTTTTGGTAACATGCTCCTTTAAAGTGAATAGTAATGGTCCTGTTCAAAGTTATGAAACAAAAATGGATGGACATAGACAGAAAGGAGGTAAAAGAAAAAAAAGTAAGAATACTGTAAGTATACAAAAACCATCTACCTGACTGCATTTGTTTTCGCTAAGACAGAGTAGAACCAGTCCTGGTGATAGCATTGCAGCAGAAAACAAGGGTGCCCCATTAGACACGTTCCTCACCCCAAGACTTCTATCAATTCCCCTATGCCTATTTTCTTGCAATATCGCTTCCTTCTACAATTCCAAAGCTTAGAATATGAGGAAGTTTTGAACAAAGTGAGGATTTGCTCTAGATTAAATGCTATCAGAAAGTGGGTACAGTTCTGATTGGTATTTTGATAAATATTATTTATAGAGAGGGGATATTAGAACCAGTATAAAGCTGTAATTGGTAAAGAAGTGGTACTCATTTTAACCAAGACAAGCTAAGGTTAGTATTTTGTTTAGTATTTTGTGACTTCATTCTTCTTTGCTTGAATGAAATTATAAAGTGGTCTTGCTTTGTTTCTTTTTATCATAGACACAGAGTGATCCTGTGTGATGTTGGTGTTCTACGTGATTGTTTATATTCAGTAGGAGAAAAAGATGGCTTAGCTATGAGTGCCAGGCCAGCTCTGAATGTCAGGTACTGCTTTTTTACCTCCCTTCTCAACACACAATCCTTTCTCCCTGCTAGATTGTGAGATCCTTATTTCCAGAGGTGGTGGCACCTATTTCTCTGTCCCTGGCAAGGTCTTACACAAGGCATTGCATGTAAGTGTTTAGTAAGTATTTGCTGATTGATTCAGAGTCAGGAGTACAGGCTTGTCTGAATTTCAGAGACACTCAACTCATAGCCATTTATTTGTCCGGGTAATTAACCTTGTGTTGTCAAGTTGCCTCTGAAGCTGTATGTAAAATAAGCACTCCTGTCTCAATTTCAGATTAAAGGTCAGAAGATGTTGGTTCTAATCCTGGCTCCTCCATTGAGTAGTACAACATTGGAAAGCCAGTTAACTACTCCAGGCCTTAATTTTTCCACTTAAAGAATAAGCTTGGACTCAATAGCTAAAGGCCATTTCAAGTTCTGAAATTTGAGGAAAATGAATTTCCTCTTGCATTTTTTCTACCTTCATAGAAAATGCTAAAGAGTACATGGCCACATATCAGTATAAATGGGAAGAGTTACTCAATACGAGGTGCTATAGGTGAGCTGTTCAAAATAAAAATCATCTGAGACTTTAATCTCACATTATGGATTAAGGAGCTAAAGGTAAACATTAAGAGGATCCCCAGAAAGAAAATATAAAATAAAAATTCTCTGTACAAGAAGATTTGCAAATTTACAATGAAGTTAACATTAAAAGTAAATTGCAACATATAAATGAAAAACTAAATACCTGGAAACATTAACCAACTTAGAAGGCAAAATCAAACTGATAAAATATTTTCAAAAAATAGTTAATATCATAAATATAATCCCATCTCATTCCATCTACCTATTTCACTCAAATCTTGACTGAAGTCAGGGTATGTACTTAGCCAGGAGAGTATATAATTCCATGTAGATCGGAAAAACCTGATTCCTCCAAATCCAAATTACAGGGTTCTCTGAAGGCCTGAGAGACTACATTCATCCCTCATTAACCATGGGGGATAGGTTCCAAAACCTCCTGCAGATACCAAAATCTGCAGATGCCCAAGTTCCAGATACAAAATGGCATAGAATTTGCATATAACCTACACACATTATCATGTATGCCCTAAGCCATCTCTAGATTATTTGCAATACCTAATACAATGTAAATACTATCTAAATAGTTGTTGTACTATATTGTTTAGGGAATAATGGGAAGAAGAAAAGTCTGCACACATTCAGTGTCTATGCAATATTTTTCTGAATATTTTTGATCCACTGTTAGTTGAATCCACACATGCAGAATCCATGGATACAGAGGGCCAACTATACCTGATAGCTTCTTTCCAATAATTTAAGAACAGGGAAAATTATTGTTGATGTAATCATATACATGTATAGTATTTTACAGTATGAAAAGGGCTTTTACCCCATTATCTTACTTGATTCTTTTTTTTTTTAGAGAGAGAATTCCTAAGTCTTATCTTACTTGATTCTCAAATCAGCCTTGTGAGGTAACTAGGAAATCATTATCCTAACCTCACAAATGATAAATCTAAGGCCTAGAAATAAGTAACTTTCCCTATTTCACATCAGGAAGCAAATATTAAAGCCAACCCTAGACCTCAGATTGGGGTTCTGCCTCGGTTTTGCTGTCTTTATAGTGAATATTTGGATTAGAAATTTTCCACATTGCCTTCCAGATTTAAACCAATGGTTTATGACAGTACCATGCTCCTTTTTTTAGGTGAAACTAAAGAAAAATAGAAACACTGATATTTGTCTGAGTTCATGAAAGGAAAAAAAAAACTTCCTGCTCACCTTGATGAGATTTAATGGTATTACTATTCCTGAATTTAATAAATGAACTATGCTACTTGCAATTTTTTTCAGAGTAGTTGTAGTGTGAAAAAAAATTTCATAGAATGAATATAAAACAACATTGATTTCTCCAGAATGTTCAGAATTACTTACTACTTGAATCTTGATTAAATGGGTCTTGAAATCAACAAAAAGTCTTGGGCTGTTGCTTGAAACACCCTAGGAAGCGTGTTCTTTTGGTGTTGTTTTGTTTTGTTTTGTTTTGTTTTGTTTTGTTTTGTTTTTGAGACTGAGTCCTGATCTGTCACCCAGGCTGGAGTGCAGTGGCACAATCTTGACTCACTGCAACCTCTGCCTCCCTGATTCCAGCGATTCTGCTGCATCAGCCTCCCAAGTAGCTGAAACTACAGGCATGTGCCACCATGTCCAGCTAATTTTTTGTATTTTTAGTAGAGACACGGTTTTACCATGTTGGCCAGGCTGGTCTCAAACTCCTGACCTCAGGTGATCTGCCTGCCTTGGCCTCCCAAAGTTCTGGGATTACAGGTGTGAGCCACCATGCCTGGGCCCTTTTGGTGTTTTTTGTGCTTAGCTCTTATGAATGACCTGGTCCTTTTTAAAAGAATTTTTTTTCATTATTTGGAGGTTTGAAGTGAATTTGACAGGATTCATTAAACACCTTCCAGTGTCTGTCATTTACCACTTCAACAACCACCTCAACACTCAGTGATGACTGTATCCATTTCAACTCTGCACATTCTTTTTTAAGCAGCTTTAACTATGTTAAATCGTTGCAAGTCTTACCTCTCTTCTTGGGAGGTTTTCACAACTGCTTAGGTCTGAGCTATATAACATTTTATGACCCTGTCTCTACTGGCATGAGCCATTGCTAGGTTGAAATAAGTGAACTCTGTGGACAGCTTGCAGGTTACATGCTCCAGGGTGTCTCCACATTGGACCACTATAGTGTTGCTAATAATCATAAAATTAAAAGGGCAGGACTTGTGTGGACCTAAAGGGTAGCCCCGGACTTGTGTGGACCTAAAAGGTAGCCCTGGACCTGTAATCCCAGCACCTTGGGAGGCCAAGGTTGGCAGATTACAAGGTCAGGAGATCGAGACCATCCAGGCCAACATGGTGAAACCTCGTCTCTACTAAAAATACAAAAATTAGCTGGGCTTGGTGGCATGCACCTGTAGTCCCTCCCAGCTACTCAGGAGGCGGAGGCAGGAGAATCACTGGAACACAGGAGCGGGGAGTTGCTGTGAGCCGAGATCACGCCACTGCACTCCAGCCTGGGGTGACAGAGCAAGATTCCAACAGAAAAGAAAAAAGAAAAAGGAAAGAAGAAAAAGCTCTGGATTCTGAGTTGTCCTAGAGCTTAAGGGCGTTGATCATTCATTGGACACAGAGCACGTCAATTTGAAGTTTTCAGCAAATGAGCTTAGAACTCACTGAGAACCCTCCCCTTGTTGACACTTCCGGTTCTGTCCCCTGTTGTCTGCCAACGGCAATCTTTCACTCCCTGTCTAAGTCCTCTCAGACCAGCTTTGGTGGGAGGCTCCTGGGATTGGCCCTTCCCAGTTTAGAGTCTCCTCAGAGACAGACTTTTATTCCCTTTATTAGGAGACAGACTCGTATTTCCTCAGCAGGCAGCCTCTCGCCTCCCCTCAACCGCAGCACCTCTGCTGCCACCGTCTTCGCCGTCATCACCTCAGCCTGGTCGCCACCCCAGTTGAGGTGCTGACGCATCATGTCTGCCACAGGGGATCCAGACCCAACCCAAGGAGACCAGGAGGCCCTGGTGAGCCAGGAGGGAGCGCAAGTTGAGGTGGCCGGAGCTGGTGACTGGGAGGGCATTGATCCTGGTCCCAATAGTGGCTTTGTGGTGCCCGTGGCTGAGGTGGCGGGAGATGCAGGGCCCATGGAAGGCCTCAGTGTGGAGGAGGGTGAGCAAGCGGCAGGCCTGCCGCAGCCCCCGGGGACAGGAGCGTTGAGGAGGACTCGGATATTGAGCTGTTGGAGGAGGAGGAGGAGGAAGAGGAGGAGGAGGAAGAGGGGGAAGCGGACCTCAACCTCAATTTGATCATGGTCCCTCATCGCTACCCCATGATGGGTGTTCGCTTTGTGTTACTCGACCTGGTCCAGTCCCTTTACCGCCGCCTCTATCAAAACGACCACATCATCATAGGGCCCCGTCACCGTAGCCGCCTGATGGCGATGGCCCGTGCTGCCGCACTCAATCGCTCGGGCGATCCCCACTGGCTGCTGGCACCTCAGAGGCTGGGCGTGGGGATCCCAGGGCCAGAGGGCCATGGCCTGGGCCTGATCCAGGAGGCCGCATCAGTCCCAGAGCCTATGGTGCTAGCCGACCCCGCCGAGATGGCAGGGGAGCCTGCAGAAGAGTCAGCTGAGGAGGCTGCAGAGGAACCACCTGCAGAGGGACCGGCCACAGAGGAACTGGCCGCAGAGGAACTGGCCGCAGAGGAACCAGCCGCAGAGGAGGCCACAGCCCCCAAAGGTGAGGAACGGGCTAGTGCCAGCGGCAGGGAGGCGGGAACACATGCGCCTAAGGGCTCTGGGCAGGGCCACAGTACAGGCACAGACGGTGGGAGTGGGTGGTGAAGTGGGGATCAGGGGCCTCCTGAAACTTAAGGCCGAACATTGTCCCAATGAGTCGAGGCCCTTTTCTATAAGGACCTCTATGATTTTCAGAAAACATGCCGCCCTCTATCAACCTGTGTTTGATAGGAGATCTGAGATCATTGATGTCATTTGCAAGCCCACAGATGAATAGCTGGGTAGATAGGGGTTCAGGAGGAAGCTCCACAGGAAACAGAAGGGACACCCGAAGGAAAAGAGCAGGCAAATGGCAGGCATCCTTTTTGGTTCATGGTTTTTTCAAAATATAAAGATTTTTTTTTTTTTTTTGAGACAAAGTCTCGCTCTGTCACTCAGACTAGAGTGCAATGGCACCATTTCAGCTCACTACTTACAACCTCTGCCTACTGGGTTCAAGCCATTTTCCTGCCTCAGCCTCCTAAGTAGCTCAGATTATAGACACACACCACCATGCCCAGCTCATTTTTCTATTTTTAGTAGACATGGGGTTTTAACACGTTGGTCAGGCTGGTCTCAAACTTCTGACCTCATGATCTGCCCACCTCAGCCTCAAAATGTAAAGACTCTTAGAAAGTTGATCCCCCAGACAAGATCAAGTGATACAGGAGCCCTTGGTAAAAATGAAACATTCAGCGGGGTGAGGAACCAATGTGCTTCACCATAGAATTTGTCTTTTGAGGCAAACAAATATTTTCCCAACAAAGTTCTGACCAAAGCACCATAGAATGCAATCAGACCTGGTGATTCTGATATCTTCTTCTCCAAAGAACTAGACATAGTCAGCAGAATTGGGTGGGAGATTTACTGGAAAAAAGGGAAATAGTGTCACTGTAGAAATGATTAAGCAGCAGCCACATGAGGGCCATGGAACTGTTGTGAAAACCAGTAGGAAGGTGTCTACCTATTCCTTTCTTAGTTAAGTCTATCCCCCTGCTTCTCCTGAGGTTGGAGTACTAGATGCCACTGCTAGTTATAAATTGGGCTATATTTCTGTGAATCACTGGTCCCAATGTCTGTATTATTCTTCACCAAAGAAGTCACTAAATCTCAGCCTGAGAAGTGGGATGAAGAGGCCCAAGATGCTGCAGATGAAGAAAAGAAAGATCAAGAACAAGAAAAGGATGTGAAAAGCAAGGGGAAGAACTCCAAAGGGACCTAGACACAGCAGAGGGGAAGCAAGAAAATCCAGGTATCTGTGTTATAGCTTTAAGAATGACTCAACTATTCCTGGCATTTACCTATTACTGACAATTTTATTTTTTTCAAAACTTCCCAGTAAATTAATTAATAAAAAGTTTAAAATTAGCTTTAAAATTCAATTTAATTTACTTAAAATGCTACTAGAATTTTCATGTACCTAGTAATATGAACTGCAGTGTGGTCTGAAATATACTTCATGGCTACTCATTTGTTCATGTTGAGGTCTTTTATCCTCTAGCTGCAAAACTACTAACAAGTGGCAAATGTATCAGACCTACTACCAAGACCAATATTTGTGTACAGTATTGGTTGCCAGGCACAGCAGTTGCCAGACACAGCACCTAACTTGGCTGGGCCATGCATTAGTTGGGCCTTCATTACTTGACCACAGAAATGCAGGCTCCCCATAGTAACTAGGAGACAACTCCAATGCTTTTTACAAAGTGACTACTAACAAATAGCAAAAGCTAAGAATTTCAAGTAGGACCACATTTAATGACTAATACCTAAATATTTGTTTAGCTATATATTTTTATATTTTATGTCACAGTCAGATGAAAAGAATGTGTGTTTATCACTGAATTGGTAATTAAGTCTTAAGGTGTATCTGTCTTTGAGTATATCTAAATGGTTAATATTTTCTTTTTTTGCATTTTCAGTTGTATATTTCTTAACAGCTTCTTTTCTATATGGTAGATATGGAAACCAAGGTTCTGGGAGGGTAAAGAAATATCATTTTTGGAACCAGCACAGGCTGATGAAGCTTCAGAGATTTATTTAAATCCCAGAATGGACTCTCATATAAGAACAAAAACAACAAGGTTTTCTAGTGCTAGGCCGACAAGGTTGGTGTGATTATTTGAACGAAACCTTCAGTTCCACAGACACCCTGCTATCTGAGTTTCTGAGTTACAAAAGGAAAGGGTGTTCTTCTCTAATGATTTAAAATATAGCACACAAGTGTTGCAGATATACACAGACCTGGCCATTTTCTTCTATTTAGAAAGTCACTGGTGTCAGTCAATGTTGTACCATTATTCATTTTCTCTCATTTCATTCTGCAGTTAGGAGGTATAGAGAGAAGACTCTGTTGCTCATTGTTTGTTTGTTTTTTTGTTTCAGATGCCTCTGGGAATTTTAACACATGTCATTACAAAGTTCTTTACATCAAAAGTGATATCCAGTGACAGCTAACTTTCCTGAATGTATTTGACAGTGTTTGTTCAAGTTAAAAATAAAAGTTTACTTTAAATTAATAACCTGAAATGTAGGAAGATTTTTCAATAATAATTCTAACTCAAATCTCTCCTTTACCTCTATGTTTTGGGCCACCATACCTTCATCGAAAGGTATTACTTTCCACCATTTGGTAAGACTTAATGCAGCCAAAAATCAATTAAAATGTCAAGTTTAAAACAATTTTTGAAGAGAGAGAGATGGGGCTCAAGTCTTTAGAGCCATGTTGCCAACTACTTTAGGCACTAGTAATGTGGCTGGTCTAATTTAATATGTGCTGTAAGTGTGAAAGTAACGTTGCATATCTTACTAATGATTGTTACACTGGTTACATGTTGAAATGATAATACTTAAATAAAATGAAATATTAAAGTTTGTGTTGGTTTCTTTTTGTTTTTTAATGTGGCTACTAGAACATTTGGAATTACCCATGTAGATCACATTATATGTTTATTGGACAGTGCTGCTCTAGAGCATGGTTTTGAAGAAAACTTCATGGATGGCCCAGGTTGCCTGGAGGCCACATGGCATTGCTGAGCTTGGGCCCAGACTTTGATCTGGAGCAGTGGCTCTCCAAGTTTGGTCCTCCAAACAGCATCACCAGCATTACCTGGGAATTCTCAGACTCCACCCAAGACCTATGGAATCTGAAAATCTGGGGTGGGGTCAGCAAGCTGTGTTTTAACAAGTCCCCAGGGGCTTCTGATGAACACTAAGGTTGGAGAGCCACTGGTTTCAAGCAACAGAGGAAGAAGCTGTGCTTCACCTCCTGTCAGACCGGCCTTAATTCACTGGCTAGGGGCTGTTTCAGGTAAACCGAAAGGGACAGCAAGGGCTGGGCTGGGGAGGAGGCTAGAACTCACAGGGGCTGAGGCCTAGAGGGGAAAAATGCATAAAGGAAAAAGTCAGTCCAAAAGGATACAAACATGATACCATGTATATGACTTCTAAGAAAACAGAGGAATGATCACCATAAATTGATCGTGGGTATATATAGAGAGACTAAAAGGTGTGCATGTAAGAGATGGATACAAATGAAGCATACAGAAAGGTGTGCATTCAAAAGACAAGCACTTTTGAGACGGCGGTTACCTCTCAGGGAAAGAAAGGGAGGGGCATTCAAGTACAGAAGGCTCCACAGCAGGAATCAACTGTACTTGTAATGTTACATTTCTTAAGCTGAATAGTAGATACATGGATGTTTATAGTGATGTTTTCTACAATTTTGTGTAGGTCTGAAATATTTCTAAAGTGGGAGGGGGAAGGGGAGCAGTTCTTCCCACACCACTGGGGCAGGAGTCAGAATCCTAGAACCCAACCCCGCCTTTGAGGTCATTATGAAGGTACAGTTGTCATAATGCCAACTGGAGATAAACCATGAAATAAAACATGTTGTGTTAGTTGATTTAAACATTTCAAATATTTAGACCTATGGTATGTGGATCCCAAGTTGAACTCTTGTTCTGAAACCTGAAAATGTTACAGATGGGACATGCTCAATATCTAGCTGATAACCCCTTTCCCTTCCTCCCTCCATGCCGCTTTGTTACCTGAGCACAGTGGGGCCCTTTGTTTCTGAAAAGTGCTTGTTCTAGTAGCCCTTCTTGCTATAGAACTTGGACTTCTCCCTGACCCAGGCTAGAGTGCAACTGCCAACCACCTTGTCTCCTCCACTCGCCCCCCCAACCACACCCCTCTCTTTGCTCAACAGGTATCCAAACGCAAAACCTCTTCAATGGCCCTTCCCCCATACCAAATATCAATGCACACCCAAAGGCCATCAACTTGGTCAAGCACATCTGTGCAGACGTCCTTTATTCGCAGCACCACCTCTTAAGAACATTTTACTTCTCTAACAACCTTCAGCTCCGAGTCTTCTCTCCTATTTGATTTCCTTCCACCTGTGACAGACAGAGACAGACTACAGAACAGGTTACATTGTATTTGTTTGTCATGTAGTGAAGATAAAGCAAGCTACAAAGAAGCTAAAAACTTATCAGAATGAGCCTCTGGGTATTTAAAAATGAAACAAAAAGACCTCTTCATTTAAAAACAGAGCTTTGCTCTCGCCTGCCTATCGGCTCCCTTTCTTGCTTGACATTTTGCTGGCCCTTTCCTCGAAGATTGAGGGGGCTCAGACCACAGCCTGCGCTGGGAATGGAGACAGAGGTGGCGGCTCAGGGAAAACAAGGCTACCAGTGATGGTGATGGGAAGATATTGGGCTAGGACAAGCAGCAGGAGCAAACTATTGCCAAGGACCTGGTTGTGACCAAATATAAGATGGGGGGTGACACCACCAACCAGATACTTCAGTCCTTGTTAGAAGCATTTAGCTCAGATGCCTTGATTATGGAAGAAACAGGGAAAGTCTTAGAGAAAATAAAGGAAATGAAAAAAGGTATTGCTTTTCCCACCATCATTTTGGTAAATAACTGTGTATGCCACTTCTCCCCTTTGAAGAGCGACCAGGATTATATTCTCAAGGAAGGTAAGTTGGTAAAAATTGACCTTGGGGTCCATGTGAATGGCTTCATCACTAATGTAGCTCATACTTTTGTGGCCAATGTAGCTCAGGAGACCCAAGTAATAGGGAGGACAGCAGATGTTATTAAGGCAGCTCACCTTTGTGCTGAAGCTGCCCTACACCTGGTCAAACCTGGAAACCAGAACACACAAGTGACAGAAGCTCAGAACAAAGCTGCCCACTCATTTAACTGTGCTGCAATAGAAGGTATGCTGTCAAACCAGTGCAAGCAGCATGTCATCGATGGAGGAAAAAATCATTAACCAGAATCGCACAGACCTGCAGAAGGACCATGAAAAAGCTGAATTTGAGGTACATGAACTATATGCTGTGGATGTTCTCTTCAGCTCAGGAGAGGGCAAGACCAAGGATACATGACAGAGAACCACTATTTACAAATGAGACCCCTCTAAATAGTACAGACTGAAAATGAAAACTACATGTGCCTTCTTCAGTGAGATGGAAAGGCATTTTGATGTCAGGTCACTTATTTAAGAGCATTTTAAGATGAGAAGAAGCCTCAGATGGGTGTGGTGAAGCGAGCCAAACATGAACTGCTACAATCATTTAATGTTCTCTGTGAGAAGGAGGGTGAATTTGTTGCCCAGTTTAAGTTTACAGTTCTGCTCATGCCCATTGACCTTATGCAGTAAACCAGTGTCCCTTCAAGCCTGACCTCTATAAGTCTGAGATGGAGGTCAAGGATACAGAGCTAAAGGCCCTCCTCCAGAGTTCTGTAAGTCAAAAAACCCAGAAGAAGAAAAAAAAAGAGGTCTCCAATACTGCAGAGAATGCCACCAGTGAGGAAACAGTAGAAGAAAATGAAGCTGGGGGGTGAGGTGGGCCCCACCTCCCCAGATTACTGCTCCTGCCTCGTCCCCTTCCCACCACACCCTGGGTTCTGAAGTACAGTTCTTCTTCTCCACCTAGGACCACCATCAGAGTGGGGGTCCCCCTGCCCCCATCCCAGTTCCCCAACACAACCAGCTCCAACTGACTCTGGTCTTGGGAGGCAAGGCTTCCTAACTACAGAAGACTAAATGAAAAAAGAAATTAAATAATAAAATCAGGAGTCAAAAAATAAAATAAAATGAAAACAGAGCTTTGTTGTTAACTGTGGAAAAGAAATTCCTAATGGAGATTTCTAAGACTGAATGCTAGATGTGGGTGAAGGGGAGGAAGACAGCAAAGCACACTGCCATGTGTGTACCTATGCAACTATCTTGCATGTTCTGCACATGTACCCCAAAACCTAAAATGCAATTAAAACAACAACAACAACAACAAATAAAGATTAAAAAGAAAAAAGACTGATAATTACCTAATTCACCGTGAGCAAAGGGAGGAAGGAGGTGAAATAGCTACCAGGATTAAAGGGCATCTACCTAAAGGAACTGTTCACTATGGGAATACAAAGCAAATCAAATCCAGTCAATTGAAAACCTAGCATTATCAAAAAGGCAGATGCCATATCAGAAAAAAAATATAGATGTTTTAGGGCTGGTGCAGTGGCTCACACCTGCAATCTCAGCACTTTTGGAGGCCAATGAGGGAAGATCCCTTAAGTCCAGCTGTTCAAGTCCAGTCTAGGGAATATAGTGAGATCACTGTCTCTACAAAAAAAAATTTTTTTAATTAGCTGGGCATGATGGGGCACACCTGTAATCCCAGATACTCAGAAGGTTGAGGCAGGAGAATCATTTGAACCTGGGAGGTCGAGGTTACAGTGAGCTGACATCATGCCTCTGCACTCCAGCCTGGGTGACAGAGCGAGATTCCATCTCAAAAAAAAAAATAAAAAAAAGCACATTGTCCAAACATAAAGATTTTTTATGTCTATAACAGTGTATCCAGCATCATAGCTGGCCCTTACATGAGAGGAGAAACCTCATATGCCATGATGAGAATTCAAGGGAAAAAGGGATGTGAAGACCCTATGTAGACAGTCAAGACCTAGCCACGTAAGAAAAAAAAAATAACATTAATGGTAAAGGTTATTCCAAAACCCATGGGACTTGTTTAACAAACATTTACCAAACACCTGCCTTTTGACAGAGACCATGGGTGTTAGAACCTAGAGGAAGGCCAGCCAGGCACGGTGGCTCACACTTGTAATCCCAGCACTTTGGGAGGCCGAGGCAGGCAGATCACGAGGGTCAGGTGTTCAAGACCAGCCTGGCCAACAGGGTGAAACCCTGTCTCTACCAAAAACTCAAAAAATTAACTGGACATGGTGACATATGCCTGTAATCTCAGCAACTCTGGAGGCTGAGGCAGGATAATTGCTTGAACCCAGGAGGCAGAGGCTGTGGTGAGCAGAGATCAGGCCATTCCACTCCAACCTGGGCAACAGAACAAGACTATCTCAAAGAAAAAAAGAAGAAGAAGAAAGAAAGAAACTAGACAAAGGCCTGTACATTCCCATTAAGGGGCCTATTCTTTCAGTGGAGCTAAACAATGTCTACACATATCACTGTAATCTAATGAGGAAAGTAATGTGGAGAGAGATAGCAAAGAAGTCTTCTTGGAGGTGATGAGTTTTGAGCCAGACTGTAAAGGAGGAGAATTTTAGACCGTTTTTTTCCAGGATACTCTCTGCTACTCCAAAAATTAAATGGTAATCTCTTCAGGTTGTATATCCTTGGGTCCCTCCCCCATCCTACCCTATCCCTAATGATGAGTTTGCAAAGAGAAAGGACTTGGCCACTTTTCTTGACTGACAGACGAAGTCCGGTAGAGAAAGAAAGCACATTTCCCTAAGCAAATCTTAAATCCTGATTGTGCCAACTTCCTGGTTTAGAGATCAGATATGAGTCTTTTGGAATTGTCATTTGTAGCTGGTGCTTGTTTCACATGTGGAAGCCAAAGACAGCAGAACTCAGCTGTAATCTCATCTACTCTGGAGGCTGAGGCAGGATAATTGCTTGAACCAGGAGGCAGAGGCTGTGGTGAGCAGAGATCAGGCCATTCCACTCCAACCTGGGCAACAGAACAAGACTATCTCAAAGAAAAAAAAGAAGAAGAAAGAAAGAAACTAGACAAAGGCCTGTACATTCCCCTTAAGGGGCCTATTCTTTCAGAAGGTCAGATACCTAAGGATAAAGGATAGGCACCAACTATACACCAGAGATATGGAATGTGACATCCTGTATAGGTTTACATCTGCAGGCAGCAGGCTAGACAGATAACTGAGGATATGGAGACTGTTCCATGGGATTCTGAATCATGTACTGCTATGAAGAGATCCCCAGTGTGGAAGCTAGGAGACTCTTCCTCAGTTTTGCTTCAGTATTTCTTGAAAACACACCTGCTCAAATTTTTTTCTCCTTTGTTTGCTGGTGCCAACCAGTTCCCCTCCCAGAGACTTGAAGCCAACTCTAACCACCTGGTGACATAGTGTGCTGCCACGGCAACAGAACCATCTCCAGGATCCACTTCACTTCTTTACAACACCTTGTTCTACGGCAAGCCTAGTGATCAATTCTACCTCCCTGAACAAATAAGAAGATTCAGGTGCACGCTTCTTTGCCCAAAAACTTTAATATTGACAATAGTCTTTATATTGTGTTTCAACTCCACTGATAACTGCAGGAGGCAACTGGCAAAGAAATGATTACATAAACTACACTCTTGGCAAATATATCAGAATATCAACACTGTATACATCTGGAAGGCATTGGCTTCCAGAAGTCTTGGCCAAATCCCCTAGAGGGGCACAGGAATGGTGGGGGGCACTAGGATGGGGACCATGGAGAGTTCTGCTATCTTTGGCTTCCACATGTGAAACAAGCACCAGCTACAAATGACAATTCCAAAAGACTCAGCATTGGCACATTAAAAAACACCCAATAAATGTGGTAAACATAAATCCATGACTTAATAAATGAAATTGACCAGTTTACATAAAAAGTAAAGACAAAGGGGTGCACTGATTAGAAAAGAGGAAGAGAATTGTGGCAGAAAGTAGTATCTGTTTGTCCTGGGAGTCAAATCTACTTTTCAGGGTAAAGAACAAACTCCTTAGTGTTGTATTCATGACCGCAATGCGATTTTCAGGCCCATTTGCTACTCTGCCCAATGATCTAGCCATTTCCTTACACACACACACACACACACACACACACACACACACACACCACACACCTCTACCACTGTTCATACTGTTTCCTTTACCTGCAGTGACCTCTTTGCTTTCCTCACCCCTTCACTACTACTAGTGATTTTCAGGAAGTGAAATGCTTCCTCTTGAGCACCTTCCCAAGCACCAAACACACCTTCCCAATCACCAACACACCTTCCTTCTCTTCCTCCTAAATAATCATTCTTTCTCCTGGAATAGATAGTAGTTTGTGCTTATCCCTGTTTTGAAACTTGACATGTTATATCATCCTTGTACAAACATCTGTCTTCCACTCTAGACCATGAACTAGATAGATCAAAGCATGTTCTTTAGGCACCATGAGTATCCAGCTTCTAACATAACATCAAACATATAGTAGGTGCTCAATACATGCTCAGTGAATGACTGGATGACTAGAGTCTGAAGTGTCTCTCCTGCAGCTTAAAGTAGACAGGTCAGCTCTTCACAACCTGAGAAGACACTTGTGTGGTGTGTGTGCATGTGTGTGTGTGTGTGTGTGTTTTGTAATATCCTAGGTCATCTAAAATCAATAGTAATGGTCCAGTTGCAAGCAGTGGAGCAAAAATGAATGGACAATATTCCCATGTAAAAAAAATAAATTTAGAGGGAGAGGAGAAGATGGCACTATAGTAGCAACTCAGGATTGTAGCTCCCAGTGAAAGCACAGAGGGTGAGTGGACACCACATTTTCCAGATGGATCTTTACTGCCCACAGACCAGGAGATTCCCAGGTGTAGGAGCCCCATAGGCAGCTGTTTCGGCCAGCCGTAAAAAATGTAAAAATACACTGGTCTGATTGCCTTGTTAAACTGGCAATTTGAGATTTGGGAAGGTGGATTAGCACATACATCTGATTAAATGGCACTTAAACAGTAAGCCAGGCCAGGAGATTTCCAGGCAGTGACGTTGATTCAGCCGGGGCAGTGGTTCGCCGCACGGGAAATCACACAGATCCCGGTGCCCTTTCAGCAGGTGACTGGAACACATGGGAGAGAGTCAACCGTTCAACTTAATAAAAAAGGACTCTGAGGCACGGAGCCAGGTGATCAGGCTCGGAGGGTCCCACCCCCATAAAAACAAACAAAATGGCAATTGGAAATGCTCGGGGCTGAGAGTTCCATGGCAAGCACAGCAGAACCCAGGACAGTGCAGCTCGGTGTGGGAAGGGCATCCACCATTACCAAGGAACTCCACCCCTATGGAGATACTCTACCATTGCTGATGCAGCCTGCCATTGCCATGGCAACCTGCCATTGCCAAGGCAACCCGCCATAACAGAGACAGTCAGTCATTACAGAGGCAGGCCACCATCGCCATGCCAGTTCTAACCACACCCATATAAACAGGACTACGGGGAATTACACATGGCAGCAGGGCAGAGCCCAGAGCAGCTCAGCATAGCCTCTGCAGGCAGGCAGTGACTAGATTGCCTCCTTGCTGGGCAGGACAGTGCAACGGATACTCATAAATAAAGCCCTAACTCCCCGGGAAAGAGCACCTGAGGAAAAAAGGGGGCTT